AGCATAATAAACTGAGAGAAATTCCTTCAGCGGTATATGGGCTAGATTCTCTCACCACCCTCTCCCCTCGCTTTAATCGTATAACTACTGTGGAAAAAAAGACATCAAAAACCTGTCAAAACTCAGCATGCTTAGCATTTGAGAGAACAAAATCAAACAACTACCGGCTGAAATTGGTGACTTATGTAACCTCATTAAGCTGGATGTAGCTCACAATCAACTTGAACACCTCCCAAAGGAGGTTGGCAACTGCACACAGATTACCAACCTAGACCTGCAGCACAGTGAACTGCTAGATCTCCCTGATACCATAGTAAACTTGTCCAGTTTTAAGTCGTCTTGGATTGAGATATAATAGACTGTCAGCAATACCCAGATCATTTGCACTCGAAGAATTAAATTTAGAGAACAATAACATTTCTACTTTACCAGAGATTCTTTTATCCAGTCTTGTAAAACTGAATAGTTTGACCTTAGCTAGAAATTGCTTCCAGTTATATCCAGTCGGTGGGTCATCTCAGTTATCTACCATCTATCCCTCAACGTGGAACACAACTGAATCAATAAAATCCCATTTGGAATTTTCTCCAGAGCAAAAGTATTTAGTAAGCTGAATATGAAGGACAATCAGTTAACATCACTTCCTTTGGATTTTGGAACTTGGACCAGTATGGTGGAATTGAATTTAGCTACTAATCAGCTCACAAAGATCCCTGAGGATGTATATGCTCTAGTTTCCCTTGAGGTTCTAATACTACCAAACAATCTTCTAAAGAAACTTCCCCATGGTCTTGGGAACCTTAGGAAATTAAGAGAGTTGGATCTAGAGGAGAACAAACTGGAATCCTTGCCAAATGAAATTGCTTATCTTAAGGATTTACAGAAATTAGTCTTGACAAATAACCAGTTAACCATGCTTCCCAGAGGCATCGGTCACCTCACCAATCTCACACACCTGGGCCCCGGAGAAAAACTGCTGACTCATCTTCCTGAGGAAATTGGTACGCTGGAGAATCTAGAACTGTATTTGAATGACAGCCCCAACCTGCACTGCCTTCCCTTTGAGCTAGCTCTCTGCAGCAAGCTTTCAATCATGAGTACTGATGACTGTCCACTCAGTCACCTCCCCGCTCAGATTGTTGCTGGGGGAACCTTCTTTCATCATTCAGTTCTTAAAGATGCAGGGTCCAGGGGCCAGGGATTTAGCTCAGTGGTTCCACCACCTGCCTCACAAGCGCAAGGACCCAAGTTCAATCCCTGGTACCAAAAAAAAAAAAAAAAAGATGCAGGGTCCATATCGCGCCATTGTCTAATACAGATCTGCGTGTCCTACACACTGTTCAAAATCAGACTGCTGTTCACGTTTCACATCTGTATCTGTGTCTATTTATGCAGATATTGATATATATGGCATATTTATAAAGACTGCATTATGTGTTTCTGCTAATAGAGAAATCATAGCCATTTAGATTTTTTTTAATTCTGTAAAAAAGGCTTACATAAGTTTTCTTTGCTGAATTTGATGGATGTTTTTCTGTTGTGTAATCTGATATGCCAGTTTGCTTAAAAAATTGCCAACAAATTATGAATTTATTCCATTTACAGGACAGAGGTAGTATAGCTAGATATACATTTCTCTTGGAAAAAATAATGGCAAATGAATTTGTTGCGACTTTTCATAAACATTTTCCCCTTATCAATTGACAGATCTTTATATATGATAGACCCTGAAGGCAGAATGTTTAACTTATTTTGAAATTTGAGATTTAAATATTATATATTGTTTATAGTCAGAGTAAATCACTGGATTTTTTTGTTTGTTTTGATTTGCTCTGTTTTAATTAATCACAACTAGAGTATATATCCTCTATTAAAGAATTTGCATCCGGGGCCATGGATTTAGCTCAGTGGTTTCACCGCCTGCTGAGCAAGCTCAAGGACCCGAGTTCGATCCTGGGTACCAAAAAAAAAAAAAAAGAATTTGCATCCGCTGATTTAAATATATGATATTTGCTTATTGAAACAACTGGCAAAATTCAATATATGGTGAAAACTCTAACATTTCTTTAATTTTACATCTCTGAGTTGTGGAGCAAAATCTGAGGTAAGTCTTTGGATAGGGATAGGGTATTGAAACCTTTCCTAGTATAAATATGTTTTCTTAAGTTTGGGGGAATAGAAATTTGTAGTAAAAAGGATTTTTTTTTCATTTCTGAAAGTTGCAAATCCACAAAAAGTAACAAATTTGACAAATTATAAACACATTCTATATATGTATATACAATGCTATATAGATATGTATTTATTATATCATAAACTACAATAGATAACTTTAAGGATTTTTCCTCCCTATCCTTGTATAATGAAATGAATGTCTTTCTTTGAAAACTGCAATATATGTACGTTTTGAGGTTACTTAGCCACATACTATGGTTTTATATCTTGACTTGGCTTGCACATCTTTCAGTCTGGTATATCTGTGCCTAAGCACACTATCTTCATGCTGTGTGGTACTGCTGCTGAACTAAATGCACTGTTCCCCACTTGTGGGGCATGGGCTTCAAACAATTCAGTTCAGTACCATTACTTTTAAATTCATCCTTCCTTTCTTGGTAATTGATAATACGGTTATGGAAAAGAGGCACATTGCATAGAAGCCATTGGAAATTCCATGGAAATTATTTAAGATGTGCATGTACTATTTGATATATTTCCCTTCTCTTTACTGCCTTTAAGGCTAGCAGAATTGTAATTGTGTGCCCCTTATGTAGTGCTCTTACTTTTGGTAGTGTTGGTACAAGTCATTTTATATCGAGGAGATGGACAGAGCAAGTGCATTCTAGATATCATACAAAAAACACTTCCATACAGTGAATACTATATATAATTACATATTGCTGCTTCTTCTCCCATTTAGTTGGGCATTGTCTTCTAAATAAACCTTTTTTAAAAATTAAGGCTATAATATTGAAAGAAATTTGGAGTGTTTTGCTTTTTCTGGAACTCAAATTCAGGACTAGACTTGAGGTTAAATTGTGAATAGCTATATTCACAATTGGCAATTTTATAAGGAGCAACTAAAAAATGGAAGGCAGGTGAAGATATAAAACCCTAGAATGCTTAAATGTGCTGTAAAACTATTGTAGATGTCACTGGATTTTACCAAGTAATATCCTTTCTTCTTTGCCATCTACTGTGGCTTTTCAGTTAAAATTTTCTTTATTACAGCTCTACCCTGAAAAAAAGAGAAAGATCTAAATATTAAAACAGAAACGCTGAACCAGCTGGAACAGAAATTAGGTGGAACTCTTGAAGACACTGGTGTAGGAAAAGAGTTTATGAACAAAACCTCAGTTGCCCGTTAACTAGCACAATCAAGTGGGACCCCTTCTTACTAAAAAGCTTCTGCACAGCAAGAGAAACCACCAACACAGTGAAGAGACAACCTACAATGTGGGAAAAAATTTTCACCTGCTGTTCCTCAGACAAAGGTCTACTATCTACAACCTATAAAGAACTTTAACCCCGCTGCAGACAGGCGGGTCTGCCTATGCCCTGCCAAGGTCCTGAGTCGCACAGAACATGCCGAATCAGCCCACTGCAGTCAGGCAGGTCTGCCCACGCCCTACCGAGGTCCCCAGTCTCGCGGAATACGCCAAACTAGGATTAGAGGTTCAATTTGATCCAGCTATTCCTCTGCCGGTTATCTTCCCAAAAGAATTAAAAGAATCATACCACAGTGATATATGTGCACCCATGTTCATAGCAGCACAGTTTGTAATAGCTAAAACTTGGAAACAGCCCAAATGCCCATCAGCTGGAGACTGGATAAAGAAAATGTGGTTTTTTTATAAAATGGAGTACTACTCAGCCATAAAAAAATGAGAAATTAGAGACATTTATAGCTAAGTGGATGCACATTGAGGTGATACTCTTAAGTGAAATAAACAGGACACACATGTGTAAATACTGAATAGTTTCTCTGGTGTGAGAAACTGAAAGTGTAAGTAAGGACTAAATGTATAATAGGTAATGTGAAATACGAAGAAAAGGGGCAAAGGGGAAGGAAGTGGGAGGGCTAGGGGAAAGGATAGAAGGGAATGGGATTAATATGAGAAAATGGAAAAATAGGAACAAAATCTTTGTAAATAGGGAGGAATAGAGGGGTTGAAGGGAGGGCTGGGAAAGGGGAAAAAATAAGAACCAAGAGAGACTATGTAAAGGTGCAAATTTCCAACGATGAATGTCATTATATTGTATGCCTAAAATGTACCAATTATTAGAATGAATAATCGATAATGCAAAATAGGAAGAAAAGATCCAAAGGGGTAGGTGTAGTGGGAGGGGCAGGGGAAAGGAAAGAAGGGAAAGGAAAAATGATGAGAAATGGAAAAAATGGAAATAAAGTCTTTGTAAATAGGGAAGGGTGGAGGGTGTGAAGGGAGGGCTAGGAATGGGGAAAAAATAAGAACCAAGATGCATTATGTAAAGGTACAATTCCCAATGAGAAATGTAATTGTGTTGTATACCTACAATGTACCAATAAAAGAATTTAATACAAAGAAAAAAGAACTTTAAAAAATCAGACCTTCCAAATTTAAAGACCCAATCCAAAAATGGGCATCTGAGGGCTGGGGATTTAGCTCAGTGGTGCCACCACCTGCCTTGCAAGCGCAAGGTCCCGAGTTCGATCCCTGGTACCAAAAATAAATAAATAATAATAATATGGAAAGAAAAAGAATGAAAAAAAGACTTCAAATATGTAAAAAGCTAACAATCAGGAAGCATAGATGAATGGCCAAAGTGATCATTCTACAATTCTTGCAACTTTTCTGTAGGCATGAAATTTTTCAAAATAATAACTTTTGGTTGGGCCAGGGATTTAGCTCAGTGGTTCCACCACCTGCCTCGAAAGCGCAAGGTCCTGAGTTCAATCCCCGGTACAAAAAAAAAAATAATAATAACTTTTGTTAAATCATGCATGCTGCACATCAGTGGCTTTCACATCTTTTAACCATAATTCCAAATAAAATATAAATTGTACAGTAACCCAGTACATACACATACACATACAATTTGAACAAATGCAAATTAAGTAAAAAGTTTCGCAAAACAATGCTTACTTATAATATTACATGTGATGCTCTGTGACTTTTCTATTCTATCACATTTTTACTATCGCCATTTGTGGTGCTAGGGATGGAACCCCCGGCATCGAACATACTAAGTACATGTTCTCCCATTGAGCTGCACCCCCAGCCCTCATGGGTTTGTTTGTTTGTTTTTCAAAATGCTGACCATGATCTGTTCAACTGAGTTGATGACCACTAATGGTCAAAACCCATTCAAATACTCCTGCAACAGTTCTTACACTTGGTATTATTAAGAAATACTGTTTGCTGGGCACAGTGGCTCACACCTGTAATCCCAGCTACTGGGGAGGCTGACACAGGATAAAAGGTCAAGCCCAGCCTGTGCAACCTGGCTGTCTCAAAATTTTTTAACAAGTTCCAGGGATGTAGCTCAGTGGTAGTGTTTGCTTAGCACACATGAGGCCCTCTCTGAGCCTCAGTACCATTTAAAAGAGAGAGAGGAATAGGAGGAGGAAGGCGAGGGGGAAGAGGAGGAACTGTTACCATGAAAAACTGACCTCGTGGTGCACCCTGAATCTGTGTGGGTTTTGTGCTTTATTTTGTACCGGGGATCGAACTCGGGTCCTTGTGCTTGCACAGCAGGTGGCAAAACCACTGAGCTAAATCCCCAGCCCGATCTGTGTGGGTTTTGCAAATTCACCTCTCCAAATACAAAGTGAGGAAGGAAGTCAGGACATTTCAGATTGCGGATTTCCAAAATGTTAACAAACGCAGTTATCACTACACATGGTATATGGAATAGCTTAAGCAAGTATTTAGCAAACATATGGCACTGTTGTTGGCTTGACTCCCTCGTGCTTGTTGTGACCAGCTCAGGAAGGCTCTGCTGCCACCTACAGAGATGGGTGTGGGAAGATGGAAGAGCCAGCATGGGGAGGGGGGAGCCATGCTGGGGATGGAACCCAGGGCCTTGCACATGCTGGGCAAGTGCTCCACCACTGACCTACACCCTGAACCCAGAGCCAGCGTGTAGAAAGCAGCCTACAAAGCCTACACTTGCATCCAGGCCCAAAGGGCTGCTGATCCCGAGGCTGACCAGTCAACCTCTGCTCATGTTCACTGCAACCCTGAGAAAAGCTGGGCTACTGGGACCCCTGGAGTGAGATTTGGCAGCCCTGCCCTGGGATACTGCACACTCAGAGGCCCTACATGCTCACCATAGGTGCTGGTCACCCTTTGTTTTGGCAAGCAGGAGGCTTATAGCTGACCAGCTGCCACCCTGAAATATCCCTGTCTCTCTTCCCACCCTACTTCCTTCCTGCTTGGCCATTAGCCCTAAAGCACACAGCTCATAATAATTTCCACACCTAATAGTGTCTCTGTCTTCTGAACACTCTTCCCACAAAACATTTAGCAAAGAGGATTGTGTGGCCTCCTCGGATTCACAATACATATTGGCACATGAAAGACTAAGTCTTAGAGTAGAGAAACTGGTTTAACATTTAATCCCCCCCCCCTCCACATACACACACACTGGGGATTGAACTTGGGGCCTTCCCCTCAGCTACATCCCCAGCCCTTTTTCAAAATTTGAGACAGGGTCTTGCTAAGTTGCCCGTGCTGGCCTTGAACTTGCAACCTTCCTGCCTCAATCTCCCAAAAGACTGGGAACTTTTTTGTTTTTTGTAGGATTTTGCAGATTTATTTGTCTACAAACACATCCTGCTGCCTTAAAGTTCCTTTGTGGCTACTGGCTTCCTTGGAAATAAATATGGTGCAAGTGAAATGGATCTTTGTTTTAAATGCCTCTTAACATATTTCAGATCCCAGGAACCGCCTCATACCCCCTTGGGTTTAAGGCTCTGTCCCATTTCCTTTCTGTCATGTCCTACCCACCTTCCTGAACCCTAGTGTCCCCAGGCAGATATCTAGGGAGGAGGAGGAGGATTTGGTAAGAAACCAAGGATGGGACTTAATGGGTTACCCCACCAGAAGAACTGGCACAGTTGATCATTCTTAGCTGTGGACTGCCTCTAACTCAGGCATCGCAGGCACTGCTGCCTGGAAGATGGGGGAAAGGGGTCGGTGGAGCCCCAGGGACTTACAATTCCTAGCCTTGAACCCAAAGGCCCACGGTCCTTTTTGTTTCTCTTTTCCAAAGGATGTCCATGTGAGAAGAGCAGAAATCCATGACCACCCCTAGCCTGGTGCCAAGTCCCAGTGTTCTTCTTTGCCTAGGGCCATCTGTAGAGGCAAACTCTTCCTTCTGTCCTCCACTAGAATTTTCCCTACTGGCCCTCATCCTGCTCCCTAAGCCCAACTTTCCCCCTTTGGCCAAAGCACTTTGGGCAGCTCCAGCATGGCAGGGTCAGTCTCTCCATAAGCAAAATGTCACATACTGGGACACACCTAGCAGAACACAAGAGGCAAAGAGAAACGTGTCCTTGTGGCCCAAGTTTCCAACCCCACGGGAGGGAAGGGTATAGGACAGTGAGGCGTTGGCCAGCCTGGCTGTAGAGTTGGTCACCTCCTCCACCAGTACCCTCGGGGCCAGCAGCTTGGAGAGGAGGCTACCGAATCTGCTCACGGTGGTGGCCACTGGCTCCAGGGATGGGCCTGGACTAGACGCCGAGAGGTTCAACTCCACGGGGTCCACGCACAGGCCATCGGAGGAGCGCACGAAGACTACCTGGCTGAGGTCCAGGCCGGCCACGGAGCCTGGAGAGGCGCATGGCACTTCGGCGACAAGACCAGAGACCTCTATCCAGTCCCGCAGCCACTCCAGGTGGCAGTCGCAGCGCCACGGGTTGCGGAAGAGGAAGAGGCGCCCCAGGAAGAAGCTGGGCTGGAAGGCGGCCCAGGAGAGCACGGTGAGGCCGTTGCCATTGAGGTGCAGTGCCAGGAGACCCGAGAGGTTCTGGAAGGCGCCCTCTTCCACGAAGGCGATGCTGTTGCGGTCCAGGTAGAGCAGCTCCAGCTCAGCCATGTCGGTGAACCAGGAGCGCACCACACCGCCCAGCCTGTTGCCACCCAGGTTGAGTGTGCGGAGTCTGCGCAGGCCGAGGAAGGCGTCGGCCGGCAGCACAGCCAGCAGGTTGTCGTTGAGCAACAGGTGCTCCAGGGCACCGCAGTCCCTAAAGGCCCTGGCGTGCACAGCGCGGATGCGGTTGGCCTGCAGGCTGAGCGAGCGCAGCCGCTGCAGGCCCTGCAGCGAGCTCGAGGCCACCGCCTCGATGCGGCCGCGCTCCAGGTGGGCATGTGTCAGGTTGGCCAGGCCGCGCAGCGCGCCCGGCACGAGGCGGAACAGGTTATCGAAGGCGATGAGCTCGTGCAGGGCCGGCAGCTCGGCCAGCAGGCGCTCGGGCACGCTAAACAGGCGACAGGCGGCCAGGTCGAGGTGACGGAGGCGGCCGAGCGCGGCGAAGGTGCGCGCGTGCAGGTAGCGCAGGTTGCCATTGTGCGCCAGGCACAGCTCGGCCAGCCGCGGCAGGCCCTTGAAGGCGCCGGGCGTGATGAAGGAAAGGTTGTTGTGGCGCAGCGACAGGCGACGCAGCGACGGCAACGCGCCAAAGACGCGCTCACCCAGGATGCGCAGGCCGTTGTGGTCCAGGTCGATGGAGTCCGTCTCGCACGGGAAATCAGCGGGCACCCGCAGGAGGCCCGCGCGGTCACAGCGCACCGTGCAGCCGCGCTCCGCTTTGCTGCAGCTGCAGGGGACCGGGCAGGCGTGCAAGCAGGACTCGGTGGCCCGGGTGCTGGGCAGGCCGAGGACCACCGCTGGAGGGAGGGGGGACAGGAGGGAGAAGAAGAGACAAAAAGGGAGCAGCAGTCAGCCAAAGGTCAACCCAGGGAGCAGGACGCAGGCCCTGCACTAAGTTCTCTTTAGTCCTGCAGTGGCCGTGTCCCTCCTCGGCCAAGGCACACAGGTGTCCCCACCTACAACGCGCTCCCCTTCGCTTTGGTTTCCACTTACCTTAGCACATCCCCTGCATAATCCCTGCCATGGGGCCCCTTCCAAACTCCCTCCTGCCCTCGCAGCATCATCGCTGTAGGCTCCTAGAATGTGGCCTCGAGGATTTCCAGTATTCAAGCATAGGGGGTTGCTGAGGCCAGCCCTGTGGCCTACGTGTAGGCCTGTGCTGCCCAATACAGTGGCCACCAGCCACATAGGCTACTGGGCATTAGAAATGTGGCCAGCCCATCAGTGCAGATGATGCACCAGATCTGAAAGTCTTAATACCAAAGATTAACATATCGCATCAATAATTTTTGCATTGCCGGGTGTGGTGGTGCATGCCTGTAATCCCAGTACTCAGAAGGCTGAGGCAGGAGGATTGTCATGAGTTCGAGGCCAGCCTGGGCTACATAGTGAGTTCAAGTCCAGCCTGAATTACAGAGCGAGACCCGGTCTCAAAAAAAAAAAATTTTTGTGTTGATTGCATGTTTAAATGTTTTTATGGGGAGTGGAGGGGGACTGGGGATGGAACCCAGGGCCTTGTGCATGTTAGGCAAGCACCCTACCACTGAGCTATATCCCCAGCCTTCAAATGCTATTTTAGATATATTGGGTTACATAAAATATTCACATTAATCATTAATGTCAACTGTTTCTTTCTTTTCTTTTTTCTTTTCTTTTTTTTTTTTTGTACCGGGGATCGAACTTAGGACTTTGCCCTTGCCAGGCAGGCGCAGCACCACTGAGCTAAATCCCCGGCCCTGTTTCTATCTTTTTTAATGTGGCTACTTGGAAAATTTACACATATGTGGCTTATATTTCTATTGATGCTATTGGCCCCTCTCATCCTAAGAATTCAATTCCTGCAAACCCCCACTGAGTATGTTAAGCCTCTGGAGAAGGAAGAAGTAGGGCTTAAGGGTGGTTGGAAATGAAAGAAAAGCCTACCAATCTTTCTTTTTTCCTTCTGTGAAGTCACTAAAATTAAACCATAAAGACAGCATACTAAATAGCTTTCTCACACATTTCAAGAGAATCAATTATGGATACTATGCAGTCAAGGTCCATTTACCAGCCCTTGGTCCCTGGGAACGTTTTTACATCATCTTGTGAAAGAAAAGTGCTTATAAATTTTGTTCTGATCATTTGAGTGGCAGATCAGATAGACTTCAAAAGCCACCACCCAGTAGGCTTGCCCCTGGCAGCAAAAAGAAGAGCATGGTCTGCTTTCCTGTGGAAAACACTGGTCCCAAGCCAGCCTTGAGGGCCAATGGAAAAGGCAGCATTGACAAATGCACAATTTTTATTTTCTGGCCAGGCACAGCTCTCACGCGAAATGTGCTCAATCCACAGTTCCTATAGAGGGAAAAATGTACGCAGAGATAAATACGATCACTGATTTATAATTTCTACCCTTCCTCACCAGTACTCCCAAATTCCTGGCAAATACTGCTGGCCTGCCATTCAGTCCCTACCCCTGTGTACAGGGTTCCCTATTTTGCCTATCCAGTCCCCTGCAGGAACCTGAAGATGTGGCCAATACAAGGGGTGTGTAGGTTTGCTCAGCTTCCGAGATCTCTTCAGTCTGTCTGTTGTGGACACTCCATGTTTTCTCAGCTGCTGGGAAAGAGATTCAGCCCTTTCAGACTTGGGTTTGAATGTTCACTTGTTTTCTCAGCTGCTCGGAAAGAGATTCAGCCCTTTCAGACTTGGTTTTATATGTTCACTTGAAAACTGTAGCAACTTCAACATTCTAGTGTTGCTGGGCCCAGTCCATGCATACCTATAATCCCAGCACTCTGAGGCAGGAGGATCACAAATTCAAGCCTCACCTGAGAAATTTAGTGTCTTAGTGAGGCCCTGAAAAATAAAAAAAAAAAGGGCTGGGGGTGTAGCTCAGCACAAAGGCCCTGGGTGGGTCCAATCCCCAGTACCAAAAAAATGATCTGATGTTGAAGCTCAGCTCAGCTTTTCCTTCTCCCTGAAAACAGATAGACACACAAAGCTTCTAGCAAGCTTCTTGGACCCTGTGCTGAACGTGGGTGTGAACAGGACCTCCACTGGGCTGGGAGACTCTCCGGTAGGGAAACAGGGCCAAGATTATGATCTTAGCTCCAGGCCTCAGCAGGACATAGGCAGAACCTTCTATCAACTCTTCCAACTGGGTCAAGTCGAAGGCATCAGATTTTCTTACAAATAGTTCTTCATTTTACTCTTCTCCTTTCTGATTAAAAAAAGTACATTCTCGAACATATAACTTATTTTGATACCCACAATACCTAGCATTGTTGCAGGCACACAGTATGGCTCAATAAATGTAGAATTAACTGGAATCTATGGCTTCCTACTGAAGGATGTAATTTTAAAAACTCTGTCAAGAGCTCACAGCATTAGAAGAGAAACGTTACAATTTATAAAATGCAAGAGACCAAAAAGGTGGCTGCTAGTATTTTAAAAACCCATGCAAGAGTGGTGAGAGTGAAGCTTCTCACAATATATCCTCTTTACTTTTTAAATTTTACAACAAGGACTGGGGTTGCAGTTCAGTGTTAGAGCCCTTGCCTAGTGTATGGAGGGCACCAGGTTCCATCCTCAAATGGAAAATAATTGAAACATATGTATGTGCACTATAATCTGTTTCAGAAAATAGATTGAAGTTGACTTTAAACTTTTATTAAGTATTCAAGATATTATCACTATTACAAACCTATTTTCAGACTTGGAAACTTTGACAGGAACTCGGAATAATAACTAATTTATTGGATTATTAAGTGAAATTTAAATTAAGTGAGATAAGTTCTCAGAACAGACAGCAAAACTCTGGTATTGGTTTACCCAGTATGAAGACTAAGTATATGTTTAGTAAGCAAGAAAAGCAGGACACCAAAAAGAAAAGAAATTGAAATATAACATATTTAGATAAGTTCTGCTTGGAATAATGGCAGAGAAGCTAATATCAGACTAATGTTCCAGCTGATAGCTGCGGTAGACCCATAGTTAGCACTACTAGGAGACCTCAGAGAAGGGTCTAGGATGGTTCTCTACCATGGCTGCACATTAGAGTCATATGGGGAGCTTTTATTTTTTATTAGTACATGTTTGCATTACATAATGTGTACATTCCTTGTATGGAGTTGCTGCATATACATAACACATTTTAATGCATTTTTTCATCCCGTTTCCCTCCTCACCCTCCATCTCTTGATTCCTTTCCCATTTGAGAATGATCTATCTCCCTACTTCCAATTATCTTTTATTTTAGTCTTTATTTATAGTTTGGGTTAGAAACCATGAGATATTTAAGCTTGTGTGTCTGATTTATTTCAATTAACATTATGATCTCAAGGTGCATCCATTTTCCTACAAATGACTCAGGTTTATCCTTCTTCGTGGCAGAGTACTCACTTGTATATAAATACCACATTTTCTTTATCCATTCATCTGTTGGTGGATGTATAGGCTACTTCCAAGATTTAGCTATCATGAACTGTGCTGCTATAAACATACATATACATACATCACTGTAATATGATGTTTTTAACTCATTCAAGAAGATACCTAGAAGGGGAATAGCTGAGTCAAATCAAATTTTAAGTTTTAGTTTTTTTATTTCCATAGTGGTTGTATTAATTTACACTCCCAGGGACATTCAGGGAGAAATGGCGATGAAACCCGTGGCCATTGTGAACTGTAAAACAAGTGTGGGATTTTGCTCCAAAGGGACCTCTTCCACATGGCAAGTAAGAGCCAGAGAGGAAGTCAAGCACAGGCACCTACCATATTTCCAGAGAGTGCTTGATCAGGTACTATTTTGGGAAGGGGCTCATTATCTAAATCTGGGACTCAGAACAACTGAAAAACCACTTCAGGACTCCCAGAGCTGCCTTCCCACAGTGAGTGGGCGAGAGACAGCCACAGGAGACAGCCCTGGACAGGGAGCGGGCTAGAAAGAATTTCCCTGAGAAGTTTCAACTCAGGCCAAGAAGAACAAGGGCCTTGCACCTCATGCAGAGAATCCAGGCCTGGCCTGAGCTGTGCTCAGAAATAGCTGGGACTGAAATTGCCTGCCTGCACTAAATACTTGCACTCTTGCTACCTATTTCCTGCGTAGTTCAGAGTTCTGATTGCTTTCCATATCTACCATGAGCAAGGGCACATCTCAGTGTGAACATTGTCACAGCCTTGGTAAACAGAGAGGCCTCTAGAATAGGGGGTACATCTTACAAACCCACAGGCCACAGAGCTAGGTAGGGAAAACAGTGACTTGTTGGACTTCAAAACTGCAAATCCTGGAAGGAAAGCACACATGCAAAAATACAGAGAAATTTTTTCATTTGATTTTGGACTAATTTTCTGGGGTTTTTTTCTTTTTTCCTTTTCTTACTCCTTTTTATTCCTTTTTGATTATGCCCAAAGTAGTCTTCAAGCAGTGCAGGCTGTAAAGAGTTAACCCTACAATTGGCTTGTTTTAAGAAGTGAGTCCGACCAAAGCCAAGGTCAGAGTGACTCACACCCAAATTCCATTCCCAGAATTAAAACCTTCTTGACTAAAAAGACAAGGTTATTTGTTAACCACAATTTATATCTTGTCTGCTCTGTTCCTGACACAAAAATGCTTTGTCTCTTCTTTTACAAGTCTTGCCTGTGTTAGCAATGTATCCCTAGCAACCACACTTAGCCCCCTTACCCCAACTTAACAATGATTTTCTCAGCAATAAATATAGACAGTTCTGGCTGTTCGGGGCCTTTGCTGTTTGCTCAGCACTGGCCATCCCAGTTCCCCACCTCTCTCTCTTTAATTCTGTCTCTGAGTCTTTCTTCT